TTACACAAAACCTCATATTCTCAGGAAACCGCAGGAATAATGCGAGGCCATTAATAAGAATAACTTTGAGTACCTTCAAAATACCATTGTGCTAAACAGACAGACAGACAAGTACACCAGTTGCCACATTATAATTTTTCAAAGTGTTCTCCCTGTTAGACAGGGATGTTATGATTGGAGCCAGAACCCAGAGGTTTGTACTAAGTAGTTGGGAACAACTTGTGTTCGTGCCAAATCCAGAAATAAATCCTACATTATGTTTGGTTCAGCATGTAATAAATAAACAATAACTAGGAAACGGTATTCCAGGAGCCAGAATAGTAAGAGATGGTCTGGGAATGAATACAAGGATATGTATGTGGATACATGTGCTCTCTTTTCTCATCACATAGAATCAAAAATCTGGCTGCTGTCATCAGGGGCAAAACTGTTCTAAAGAGTGAGCCAACTCAGACTTTACCTACCCACTTCAAGAAAATAATTTAAAGATAAGACTCCAAGCAGTCTTTTACTGGCTACTAAAATACAACAAAAGAAATCGAGGAAAATTTATAGAACTTTTAGTTAGCTACTGATCACAATAAAATTATTATAATAAATATATCAGAGCATTCTTATCTATGCTTGATGGCAATTCAACCCTTTATGCCAGCCAGGAAAGCTACAATTTAGCAACTAAACTTAATTTTTCCTTCCTAAAGATTAACTACTGGTAACTACAATTAAACTAAGGGATATTTGAAGGGTGGTGAGTTTCCGTATGGAGAAGTATACTAAAAATTGCTCCAAAATCAATTTCACTGGTGGATTTCATTTCTCTAGCTCGTTACACAGGAGATTTATATGATGTTTACTCCCTGGAATGCTGACTATATATTCTTGCTCTACTCAGGAGCTTGGAGTGCTCTAACATGAGGCAGGTGACAAGGGGCACAAGTCCTGACTTCGAGGGTCATTCTTAAGGTCCTGCTGATGGGAAGTTTGTGCTAAGACATATTCTAATTGGTAAAGGCCATTTCTAACATAATTGTGGGTTTGCTATGTTTTGCCTGAAACCTAACACCACTCAATACAAATGGTCATGTAGAAACGTTGAGTGTTTCTTCTTGTCACCTGGTGACCGGCTAGAGAAGATGAATGGTTACCAGAGACCCAAGTCCTCCTTGTGTTCATACTTTCCCCTCTACTCAGCACAGAGTACAATGGAACCAGGCTTATGACATAACGAGAGAGGGTTACGAGGAAGAATGGTGCCACAGAGAAGGTGAGGTATGGGACTGAATGCCAGGCTCAGAGTCCCCATTTGTGCTTTCATCACTAATTTGTGCATCTGGACTCCCTCCTGGGGATCCATCCTCACTGGGCACTAGGCCAGCTGGCCTCTAGGCCCTGGGACCCTACATATGGCCCAAAGGCTGCCTGTGATGATGGGAGTCAACTCTCCAGTTCAGGGCCCACCTTCCCCCATTTGATCCCAGGCAAAGCTGCACAATGCCGAACTGCCCCACCTCCCGCCAGACTCATCCCAGGTTGATGGGGGAGAATACTGGGCCTGGTGGAGGCCCTGGGGCTTTCTGGCTGTGACCACAGGCTTGCCAGCCTTCTCCCACAGCTCCACCCCTCCCCAGGGAGCTCACAGCCAGGGCTGCAGCAGTCCCACAGGCTACAGAGTGGCCTGGTTCCCACACAGCTTCAATCTTCAGCTACTGCTGGGAGCAGTCACTCTTTGAGCCTGTTCTCCAAACACAGCACTTCGTCAACAGGTTTGACTCAGTCCACTCCCCAGGTGTTGAGCTTGGTCTCCTGCCTGTCTGGCAGCTTTCCTGAGGGAATGATGGTGAGTAGGGGTCACCTGGGCCAGGGCTGAGCTTCTGTCTGCTCATGACTGTGTTTAGGTTTAAATTAGATAATAAAGCCTAAACAATTAGCAATGGGTAAACATAAGCAAGGGCTTAATACACAGTAGCTGTTATCAACTATTATCAATACACACATCAAGTAGATGCTCTAAATGTATAAGAGGGACCTACTGGGTGAGGATCAGTTATTCAGCTTGCTGAGGACTAATTCACATCCCAGAAGAAAAAGGGAAAAGCAGTGGAGAATGACTCATCAGTGGCCCTTCTCCCCTCCTTCCCAGGCATGGCACCTGGAAGGGAGGAAAAGACCCCCAATTAAGTCAATGGGGGATGTTGTAAACGTCTTGTGGGGTCACAGCTTGTACCTACACTGTTATCCAGTGTTGACGCTATTATCCAGTGTTGACGTTAATTCCTGGCAAAGGTGGCGCTGTGGTCTCATGAGGCTGGAGGGGTGGATATAAGTATGAGCATGTGTGAGGACATAGTACCTGCCGATTAGTCATTGAAGCTGAAGCTGCTCCAAAACACTACATAATCTTTGGGGTTAATGTGTTGAAAATGTCAGATGAGGGACTCCAGCGACCAACTGTGCCCCTAAACACTATGTGGCACCCTGGCCACAGTCTGTGGTGCTGTTATCATCTGTGGCTCTGGGTCCTTCCCCACCTGTTGCTATGTTCCTCAGAGTGGCAGGGACCAGCCGACTGGCCAGAACCACATGTGCTATTTCTGTGCATAGGATGTGAGTAAGTGCATGCCACAGTAAGTCAGACCCTCAGGATATGAGTCAGATTATACTATAAAGTGTTAAAAAGAACTCATCTTCAAAGCATACTGCAGGCATTAGGCCATGCTTCAACACTATTGTAAAGGAGCTGCAGCTTGAAAGACACTTATAATTACTAAGCAAAGGAGAAATGCTGAAGAATATAGATGAGCAGAATTGGTCAAAGGCCAACCAATGAAAAGAGTGGATACTGTGAAAGCCAAATTGTAGGTCTTAAAATTTAGAGGTAAAAAAGAAATATTTAGCAGGACCACAAATTTCTCCAGCATGATTATGGATGTGTGGAAGTAGTGAAATACGGGCAACTCAGAGAAGCTGCGGATCATGGGCTTGCTTTATTTTCCTGTTAAAACAAAACATAGTATCTGCAGAGCAACCTTTCTGGGGCCAAATTAATGATCCTAACCTGGTTCTTAGAAAAAAAAAAATTTATTGGCACTTAGGTATAAAGATACACACAAAAAAGATGACCACCTGTAACACTATTTGTAAGAGTAAAAAATTATTGACAATCATGATATTCACAAACCAGTAAAATAAACTATATTATGTCCCTGTAATGGAACCCAGGCAGCTGTTACAAGGAATGAAATAATCTGAATATATAATCTGGCATGGATGATGTCTGAGATAGAGCATTATGACGAACAGTCAAGTTGTAGAAAATGTGCATGGTAATCACATTTGGTGTCAGTATGTGTTTGTGTATGCATAGGGAAAAGTTTCTAAGGACCCAGAGAAACCATACATAACAAAGACAACAAATAACCGTTATCTGTGACAATGAGTTTTTTTACACCCTTATTCATTGCCTGAATCCTTTATAACAGCATCTATTACTTTTTTAACAGAGAATAAAATCAACAAAGGTATTTATGAGAGAATATTATTAATGGATTTTTTCTATAATTGCAAGGTTCCTGAGGGCCTCGGAGAGCCTAATGGCACTGTAAGCCCTCCACAGCTGCCAAGTCCCTAAAACGAAGGCACAGCAGGTGAGCCCCAGGAAGGCCTCAGCTCAGTGCAGCCCTGAGCTCTCTGTGGGGCCCACAGAGGCAGCAGGGTCGGCTCTCTCGAAATGTCATGAGGAAGGAGGGCTTATTGGCCTTGAAAGTCCTTTCTTTACCCTTGTCACGGACCCTCGGATGTCCTGTGCAACTGCACTTCTGCTTCTGAACTGTTGGAGTTCACTGCCTAGTCATAACCCACAGCTATGATATGCAAACCAGCACTCAACCCTGGCCCAGCTGCACTTCCCAATATACTGACTTGCTCTTCAAGGGGTTGTGAAGAGTTCTTAGCAAGAAGTATCAGAGCAATTCATCTGCTCCATCTCTTTCCTCTTGGCAAAGCCTGGGGGAACCATCCTTTGTTTCAAAGGCCAGGGCAAGGAGAATTACTTGACCTGCCCCCCTGACCGGAGGAATCCTTCCTGATACCCTCCCCTCCCGGTCAGGCATTTCCTCTCTGTAAGTCAACTGTGTCCTCTGGTCTGCCCCTGGTAGTCCCTTTCTCCAGGAGGGAGGGGAGACAGCAGTCCTATCCGTTTAAACCACAATGCCCAGGCCTAGAAACAGCTATAGGCTCAGCCTTGTCTTCTGCAGGCTGGAAAAGCCCAGATATCACTATTCTTTACAAGCATTTTCTGTTTTTCACAGTTCTTCAGATGCCTCATAGTCTCCTTCCTCACCCCAGAAGTTCCCTTAGATATTTCCTGCTCTTCTTTCAGATCCTCATTCAGAAGCCAAGCCAGGGAGAACATCTCCTAGCGTTCATCCCAGTCCTCATCTTCCATGTGTTCATGTGATAACTTGATTCACACCTACCTTCCTCATAGAACAGAAGTTCCTCGAGGGCAGATACTGTGCCTGATTTTGCAGCACTCTCAGTGCACAGCACAGTTCTAGTTACCAAGGGGATCCCAACAAAGGCTTGCTCAGTGGAGGGATGCTCCAGAGGCTACTGGGTAGGGTATGCGCAGTGGGGAGGGAGGAAGGGACCTGAGGGTTTTTCTCCTGCCTGTGACCAGCTTGCCCCCCTTATTTTCTGTCATACGTGTCCTAGTGAATATTTCCCCCTACACTCTGAGGATTTGTTTGAGGTAGATACCAGCAGTAGATGACAGTGTTTAAAGGAATCAAGAGGTATGGCTATGAGTCCAGAAAGTTCTCAGTTGCAAAGGCAGAACCTTTGATGCTGTGACCTCCCGGTTGTTTCTCAGGGTCTCTTTAACTGCTCAGGGATGCTGAGGGTGCCCTGGACAATGGCTCTATAGAATACAATAGGGGTAGAAATCAATAGAGAGGGCCTCAGCCAGCGCTTGGTGAGGGAGGGGTAGGATGGACACTGACCTCGGCTGATCCGCTGCTTCTCCCCAGAAAGGATGCCAGGGCTGTCGATGATGCTGATACTCTTCAGGACCTGATTGGGCAGCTGGGAGCACATGAATCTGGAAGAGATGGATCAAAAGTGGCATCAGAAACTGGGCATCACGGAGTGCTATAACTGTAGGGCTCCCTGGCCTCTCTGGGCTTACAGACGTCGTCTATAAAGTGGGGGCTGGAAGGAGACTGAGAGAGACTATAGTCACCTAATGAAGTCAACTGTAAAGCCGGAGCTTGAAGGAGATTGACAGCAAGCCCACTGGTGCCACAGAAAACAGATGCTGGTCCATGGAACAGGTATGGCAAGGTGCACTGGTGCCGCTGCCACCTGCCACCTGATCCCTTCCTATTCATTTTTATTTTGACTAACACAGATTTATTAGCTAACATAAATTTCGTTTGATCCTCATTAACTTCAAGAGGAAGAAATTGCCATTAACCTCAGAGAGATTAAGTCACTTGTTCAGAGTCACTCAGAGCTGGGCACTAAACCCTGGTCAGCTTGACTCCAAAGCCCAGGATCTTCACTTTTCCCTCCCACATGTTGATTCTTGCCCAAGCATCTTGGGCTTCTCCCTCCTGGGGACCTTCTTCAAGGTGCACCGAGCTGGAGAGCCCCAAGCTCCCTGTCCAGTCCCTGTCCACTCCCTAGCATAAAAGCTGGAGGCATGGGAGCCACTTTCCCTGTCTGGTGCTCCAGGGACTTGGCATCCAGCCTGGTGTCCCTATGGCTTTAGGACCAGGAAAGTGTCGGCACCTGCAGGCAATACCCCAAATCCTACAGGCGCTCAGGAGTCCTAGGGGTGTTGAAGAATGAGAAGGGGCCAGGTTGGGGGAGGTCCTGGCTGAGCATGTCCCAGCCCCTTCTTCCTCCCTCACTGGCCTGGTATCACCTCCTTCTTCTGATCCTGATCCCTCCTGCTATGTTTCTAGTCAGCTGCCCTGGCGTCTGCCCCATGGAAGCACAGTAGTGGGGAAGGAAAATTCTAGCCTATGGGCCAGCAGACCTAGTTTCAGGTCCTGGCAAGCCCTTGACATCGATTTGCTGTGAGACTTGGACAAGGGCCTCCTCTCTTTGGGTCTCAGTTTCCTCATGTGAAAATGGAAACATATGGACAGAGTTTGGTGATGTCCTTTTAAGTTTTCATATGGTGTAACCATACGAGTGACAGTAGGAAGTACTTTTTTACTTCCACCCAGGTGCCAGATCCCGGGTTGGACCTCTGTTAGGCACTGTGTATGCTTTAAGGAGGAAACTGCAGGGTGTCTCTCCTTTTCCAGGATGATAAATGGCTGACTTCTGTATCTGTGTGGGCAGAAAGCTGAAAGTTCAATTCTTCCATTCAGTGGAAGTGGTGGGTATTACTCAGAAAGTAAATATGCCGGGAATGCAGGACAGGGAGGCCTGCCCAGCCTCCGTGGCTCATGTGGGAAGCACAGCCCTGCACCAGGGAGGGAGGTCCCAGCAAGAGATGCTTATTGCTGACACTTCCAGATGCCTTTCTTTGAAGGGGCTCACAACAAGTCTGCCAAACATTCTTCCTTTATGTTCAAAACATCCCAGAAGATGTAGGAAAAGACAGTATGATCCTTTTGCAAGGTGGAGAAGCTGAGGGACAAAGCAGTTAAGACATCTGGAAGTCACACTGCTTATGCATGGCTGGCTGGAGACTGCAGCCTAATATTACTGATGTCTCTTGGGTAGAACTTAGCCTGTAAAGTTAAAAACCTCATAACATTAAAAGTAAAGGGTCAGGTTAATGGAAAAGAAGACCCCCCATTTCTGCTTGTCGCCTACCTCTGCTGCACCCAACATTTAAATAAATCCCAGCTCCCCAACACATTTTTTTGTGAGAATAATGTGCACAGCTCACCAAGCCTTCTTTGTAAGTTCACAGAGAAAACCGCTCCACTGTTATTCAGTTCAGGTAGGACTGGTGTTCTGAGCACATCTGTGGTGGACCACGTTTCTTGCCAGAAATGATTTTGTCTCTCAGCACAGTCCCATCCTTCTATCAGACGGCCCGAGACATCTGGCAGTGTTGAACAAATTGCACCTACATGAAACTATTTTCTGCAAACTATTCCTGTGGTGTGGATGACCTTTTTCCAAGCTCACACTCAGTATCCATTTTTCCAAAACACAAACCCCCTAGATTCTCCAGTGAGGCTAACAGAGGGACTCAAAATGTACACACTGTTCTCTCCCTGGGTGTGAAGCGACAGCCTTTCCACGGCCCCCAGGCCTCTGGACACAACAGCAGAGGCCAAACGTGTGAGCCACAAAGTGATACACAGCAAGATGAGCTGATGTCACCACAGAACACACAAGGGGGCAAAGTGAGGAGCTGAGGATGACTGCAAGGGAGGAGGGGAAGGAAGAGGAGGAAGAGCTCTGGGGGGGCCCTGAGAGGGAATGGCTAGGGTTGTGTGTGCAAAGTTGGACTCCACTCCATGCAAGAGAGCATGGGCGTGCAGGCAGGCAAGAGAACACAGCACATGTGAGCATTCAGACCTGTGAGGTGCCTGGCTCACACTGAAAGGATAAAACTCCTCACAGATATGCTCTTAAAAAGTTATATTGGTATCAGAAAAAAACCCCTCATGCTGTTCTAGCAATCATGTCTCACCTTTCTGCATTGGGAAAAGAAGGTAAAAGCAAGGTTACTAGTGTGTGCATTAGAGTCGGCCTGACCTGAAATGTCTCCAAGTACAGATTTGCCATCCCAAGATGGATTTCCTACTCCCTCCTGGGGTGATGAACTCAAGGTGTACCTGTGCCTTGCCTTCTACATTTCACATTAAATATGCAAACGTGCTGGGGAAGCCCAGGGACCTTGCATAGCTTTTGTGCCTGTCTCCTCATGCAGAGCTGACCTGGTAAATGTTGTTTTACAAGTAAAAGAAGGGGAAGGAGCAAGCAAGCAAGATCCTATGCTAAACCCTACTCCATGTCCTCATCAGTCTAAGGAAGGGCAGGGAGGAGCAGAAAGTGAGGATAAAGTAACAGTCTAGGCTGCGAGGTCTCAGGCAAGTTTACCGCATAGTAAAGCAATAGGGCAGGAGGGTTAGATTACTTAAAATTGCCCCAAACACAAAAATATCAACTTGATGACCAACATTTTAAAAACTAGACTTTTAAAAGAACCAGACAGTACCTTAAGACTGATTTAGATTTCTCAACAAAACAGTGTTATCTGTAGTAGTTACAGTAAATAATACCATTGCACAGACATTTCCTGACTTTGTATTGTGCTCTAAGCACTTTCCACACACATGAACTCAATCAATGCTTACCACAAGCTTACGGGTAGCACTGTGAGGCTCCATGACAAAGGAGGGGACTGGGGCACAGAGGGGTCACAAACCATAACTTGCCAAGTCCAAAGTCTGACAAGTGATAGAGCCTGAACGTTAACTTGGCAGTTGTGACTGCAGGGCCCAGGTTCTTAACTCCTGGCCTACCACTACCATGACACACGTTTTAATCTCCATCATGTACTTTTACCTCACACAGGGCAACACTAAAACAAAGGGGTGATGTGCCACAGTCCCAGAACTTCCCACCAAAGGGGCTTCCTTGTGTGGCTTGCACTGGGGCAGGAACAGTAGGCAGGAGATATGGCCTCCAGCCCATGCCCCTTGCCTATTCACCCTGTGACCTTGACCTTGCATAGGTCTCTAAATCTCTCTGAGCAACTCTACCAGCCCTGAGGACTCCCAGGTTTGTCAGTAGGTTCAAATAAACCCAAGCTTACAATGGAGAAAGTATAGAGTCATTTCAAATCACTGCCTTTGACTCCAGCCCATTTTACTGATGAGAGTAAAACAGGAGAGATTATAAACATTGGCAAGATGTGTCTAAAACTGCACAGTAAATAGGATTCAATCTACAAAAAGGCTTTGACCCCTAAAGAGTAATAATTAGTATGTGGTCCTGTCACAATGGCTAATCTAACCTTCCAGTGCCCAGGAGGAACTGAATTTTATATCCAGGTTATAGAAATGCCCCTGGTTACCCTATTAGATGGAAATTTATGAAATTGCCACTTTTACAGGTAAAAAGTAGTTTCAAGACTGGCAATTTCATATGGTTCAACCTAAACATGTACTTTTATAAATCCTCTCCTGGCTGCCACCTGGGAAAGGTCTGTCTGAGCCCAGGGAGGAGGGAAGCACTTCTCAAATGTAAGGACCAAAAATTACAGGCAGTTGCCAATCAAGAACAATGGTTTGATGATCAAGAGACTACCACAATCCTGAGGTGAAAGACTGATGGAAAAAGTTTCAACAAGTTCATCATGGATAAATGAACCGTTAAAAAAAAACACCCACAAAAACAATCCAGTTATCCCTTCAGATTAGAAAAAAAAAAATTGCTGGTGAATCAAAAGTGATTATTTGCAAGACCCTGTTTTTCTAATTTCTGCAGCTAAATTGGCTGATGGAGCCAGCACATACCTGAACTGATGCTGTATACCTGCAGGAAGTCAAGTTTTAAAAATTTTCAGGGGTACGTAGTGGAATATCCAAAACTCTAAAAAAAACTATATTGAATAAGTTTTATTTAATTACAAACATAGAGGTAACAAATGGAATATAAGCCCCAAAATACACCCGTGTATTTTATGATTGCTAAATCAGCACTGACACATAAGACAGTGATTGTTTTTCATTACCACCATCAGGCCTGGCTAAAATGACAGAGCACTGGAAGGACTGTTCAGATTCCTTCAGCTCAAAGGGAATTTTAAAATTGCAATTCATAGAGCCAGTGACTAAAGTTATTTTTAAAAAAGAAATATAGGCAATAAATAAGTAAATAAGAATTTTTCTGTGGAAGACAACAATTTAAAATTACACTAGAAGCCGGGCTCGGTGGCTCAGCCTGTAATCCTGCACCTTTGGGAGGCTGAGGTGAGTGGATTGCCTGAGCCCGCGGGTTCGAGACCCACCTGGGCAGGCGAGACCGCATCTCTACAATAAAATCACACACAAAAAATTAGCTGGGCATGGTAGCACATGCCTGTAATTCCAGCTACTCGGAAGGCTGAGGTGGAAGGAT